AGGGCGCCTGGGTGGCTCAGTTGGTTAAGCGACTGCCTTCGGCTCAGGTCATGATCCTGGAGTCCCGGGATCGAGTCCCGCATCGGGCTCCCTGCTCGGTGGGGAGCCTGCTTCTCCCTCTGACCCTCCCCCCTCTCATGTACTCTCTCTCATTCTCGCTCTCTCAAATAAATAAATAAAATTTAAAAAAATAAAATAAAATAAAATATTGGATGAGAGGGAAGTTGCATATAGTGAGATGTACTCAGGGCCCTATAAACTTTTTGGAATCAGTCTGCATAGTCTCTGCACAGGAGTTGACTAGAGTCACAGGGCAAGCCTGGACACAGGCTGAATATACTGGTGCAGGGCTGAAAAGGGGGGAGGTTGTGGCTGGACAATGAAAAAAGTTGATGTCAATAGAAAGTTTGGAGACTAATAATAATATCTCACAATGTATTAGATCCATCCATTACATCAATTATTTCTTAAGCTAATGGCAATGTGTCTTAATTTTATAACAGTAACACTAAAGATTAACAGCTAACTGTTCATTAGCGACCATTTACTATGCATTGAAGCATAAAAAGCTTTAACTCATTCACAGACCAGCTTTTTGTTTTCTTTTTGATATGCTCATTTTACATAATTTTTCTTATAAAATAGAAGGCATTACTTCAAGTTATAAACTTTAGAAGGTAATTATTTTTTCCTGTTTACTTCCTCCCATGCCAGATTTCACAAGTGGTATTAAAGGTTTTCCAAAAAGCAAGTTTTATTCCCATTGTCACTAAATACAATTTCCAAACATTTTGAGAACTGCTTTAAGTAAGTTATTTTTAAATGTCACACATAGCTATAGTTTACTTTTAAAAAGTAATATTTGCCCTTATGAAGATTAATAATTAGTCATTAGATGCGCTTTTAGAGATTTTCTATATGGGAGAGCAAAATTTAATATTTGAGGCTTACCATCAAAAATACAGGAGCAAAAGAAACCAAATAAAAAAGAATAAGAAATTTAAAAACAAAATTGGACAGAATATGAACCTGATACTGTGATATATTAAAATTAGTCATACACAGCAAAAATCCAGCCAATACGGGAAGGGGACATTTGGAGACTTTGGAAATACTATTGCTGTTTCTCATGCAATTTTTTTAAATGTTGTTTTGTGAAATTATGCTAAGTCATGATCTCATTAATAAAGTAGATTAATATTCAAAATTGACTTGAAAAATAATTTAATAAAATCATATTAAGTAGGAGCAGTTTTTTTCTGTGTATAGTCAGGATTGTATAGGAGTTAGAACTTTGGCAAATAGAGAGCACAACCAGTATACTGATGTAGGGGTTGAAAATAATTTACAAAATTAATTTAATAAAATGTTTAAAACAGTAACTAACAATTATTAACAAAATAACAACAAAGCTGTTTGTACTTGCATTTAACAACACATTTAAGCCAAAATTGAATTAATATAAAAATAATATGCAGCGAATTGATATCTGACATAAGATACAATAAAAATTAATGTTCACATTGAAGACCTGAAGTTGCAACATCTCTATATATGCCTTCTAAATATCTTTTCACTTTCATTTCTCGGTTGTGTTGATTGCAGCTCGTTGTGACCTAATAAGATGTCAATTGTAATATCCAGAATATTTCTTAAAGTAGAACACTACATTTCCCCTACTACGCCAGATAAAATAATTTAATGTATTTATTTTAACAAAAGGTCCATCCATGATTACTAACTTTGAACTACAGAGTAGGTGTTTGTTTGTTTGTTTTTAATTTCTAGCACTACCTGTGGTTCTTAAAGATATCTACAGTTGATATTCGAATTGTCATGCTGTTTCTGAAAAGAACAATATATTTATCCTGAAGGGTTTACTGTAATTCACCCCTAAAATTTACTTTATGTGGAAATGTTTCATCATAAAAACATGTCTACTATTTATATATGTCAAGATCGATTCTACTACATTTTGTAGAACAAGCACAGATTTTTATATCAGACAAGCTGGGTTTCAACATCTAACTTTACACGGTGACCCTGGGAACATTACATACCTTCTATGAGCCTCCATTCCTGAACTACAAAATGAGAACATCACCACAATTCTCAAAGGGTAGCATAAAGTTTAGAAAAAAGCTAGTGCCCTGTGCCTCGTACTGGGCGAGGCATAGCGTAATCCACTAGGTGTGAATGGTATTTTTTCCTCTCTTTCCCATTGCTGATATATTTGGCTAATTGAAGATTAATGAAAAAATATAGAAGAAGTTACTGGAATAAATCAGCTCCACTAAAAAAGCTCATTACATTGCAGGCAATAGTTACACATTCCCAAAGTAACATTGAGTAAGATCAAAAGACTGGTTTTAAAAATGTATTTACATATTGTAATTCATATGCAAGAAAATATTTTTCAGGGCAACAATGGCAAAAAAATGAATAAACTACACCTGTGTGTATAGTGTAATTTTGTAAGAATAAAGAAAAATACCCAATTTTACTAAATGTCAAATGTTCATGGACAGGTAACAGAAACAAATCTACTTCATATAGCAATCTACAGCAACATTAAAACATATCAAAATAGAGTTTCTGTAAAGGAAAAAGTCTTTTTTTTAATGGTGTGGATAATAATTAGAAGTTCCCATTATTTGTCCATGAAACCTCCTAAGAAAGGTGGTACTTCAGACAGGATTCTAGTAGAACTTGGCACATAAATTGTAACTTTTCCACCACCCACTGCTTTTCACCTTCTTGTAGCTTCATTCACTCAGACAACCTCACATATACATAAACAATATTAAAAACACGCATGGCTTTCAAGCAGAAAATTCATTTTCTACAACAAAAGCAGGTCACCATATTTATACCCAATGTTCTCAGTCATGGAAATGGATTTTCCTCACAGAGCTGCTAATTAACATACGTTGTTTTGCTCAACCTTTCAAAAAGTGTGTCTCTAGGAGGATCTGTTTGATCATGTGCAAGAATTCTAAGGCATTATAAGTAATTGTTCCACAGGACAAGTGCTGCCCTTGCGATGATACACTCTTGATACCCTTAGCAAGTCTTTAGTCTTCAAATGCCACCAGACATAGGGAGACATTCATAGTCTACAGGTGGTTGGCTCAAAGGTCAAAAATTTTGTTTAAAAAAAACGTTTATGGAATAGCACCATAGAAAGTCTTTCAGAAACAAATCTTTTTTTCCAACATTGCATTTTTTTAACTGAATCCCAAGAAGAGAAAAAAAAAGAAGAAGAAGAAGGCGAAGAGAGAGAGAGCTTTCAATGACTACACAGCCTACATCCACTTCACTTCATTTTTTTTTTTTAAATACAACATTAACCGTAACAACATCAGCAATAACAACTACAACAGATCAACAACCGAAAAGACAATAGCAGCACTGGTGACTTGAGAATGGGCCATCCAGGCAGTCACTTGGAAGAATTCTGTTCACACCTGCTGGGAGTTCTCTCATGAAGTTCCCAAGACATCACAACGCTTCTTAAATTGGGTGTGAAAAGGCAGCACTTTCACTGAAAGAACGTGAGTTTACTGATCAACTGGGCATTTTCCAGCACTTAAATAAATGATGCCTAGATTTTAACTGCAATAATAGACACTATTGGCATTTCCAACTTGTCAAAACGTCAGTAAAATGAAGTGGTCTCAAGATCATTCGTGTTTCAAAGAGGTGAATCTGGCCTGCAAGTGAAAATAATGAAGCTGAAATATTCCAGTTTCCAAACTTCCGGACACGCCCACATTTAAAGTACAAACCGCCCTCAAAAGACTCCCATTTCGCAACATCCCATATGGATCTGTATCCAAGATACAAAGCCAAAGCAATCATCCTAAGATACAAGAAGAGGGTTTTTCAGTTTATGACCTGCAAGATCATTTGATTTCTCCCAAATCTTGAAAAATTGTCAAAAAGAAACACTCTGCAAGGTCACAGACCCTGAATCGAACTGTCTGAATGGCAAGGCATCTCTGTCAAGCTGTGAACAAAATCTTCTGGAGTCTTCCTTGAAGTTACATGTGCCTTCTCACCAGCTTTATTTATATTTATACCATCAAGCATGGAGTTTCAATATCTTGGCAATGTTGATCAGAGTTGGCTTGAAAACTTCTCTTTTAGTACAGAGATAATCCTGTTCTTACAGTCTTCTTCTGGTCAAACTCATTATATAAAACATTTGTGCTAATATCTTCATTTAAAAAAAATACGTCTTCTCTCCATTATGCACATTCCTTTATGTTTCGATGGAGGTTTTGGTGTTATTTTTTGGTATGCATAGTATCTGGATATCTAATGCTTTTGTATCTTATATGAAATCCTTTCTTGTTGATTGTGTCATCAGTGTGAAAATGAATTAAAACCGCATCCCCAATTGAATAGATCTCTTCTGGCGGCTGAAGACAAAAACAAACAAACAGGCAAATAAACAACAGAATGAGCACTTTTTTCCTTCAGTGTAATTCATGTTTGTTTGGGATTTTTTTTGGGGGGGGGTATATGATTTAATCCTCCCAACAACCTTGAAAAGTGGGTATGAGTGACTTCTTCATCTTACAGATGGGCAAACTTGAGTTTCAGAGAAGCAAATGACATGCTCAAGATCATAGGCACTGATATAGCTGGGCTTGGAACATAAGTCTGTTTCCAAGTTCTGGAACTTGGTGGGTTTTTTTCCCCCAAATTTTAAGCCAAATTCCTTTGATTTACAAGTAAATAAAGTAAGGTTCAAAGGAGGTAAAAAGATATTAAATTTGTTTCAGAAGGGGCTCTGAGGCAGAGCCACGTCCAGAATCCAAATCATCCATTCCTTCTTGTTTTAATAATCTAAATACCAAGAAGTTTTTTGTTTCATTTCAGCTGATATTTGGAAAGGAATTCAATATCATTCAAGTTCAGTATTATGTAAGCAATAGACACTGGTGGACAAAAAATGGGACTAATGCTTTCAGAACAAAGTATGTATTCAGAAGACCGTTTGATATTTATGCAGGGAGTCCTGGGGGGAAAAAGCATGAAGGAAATCTCAAGCTTTCCTTTTTCTTATTTCTCCTGGTGACACTCTCTGACCTGTATCAGGCATTCTGTCCCATGCACAAGTGACACACTGCAATGGAACAGCATTATGGCAGCACTGGGTAAGCCCACACACCAGTGGTGGTGCCTGCCATTCAGCAAGCGTCTTCGCTGAGAGGGGAATGTCAATTTGAATTGTGTGCACAATTCCTTTTCCTTTATGCTTTAATTTAGGAAGCTTACCAAATCGTCAAAGGTGTGTGTTTAAATTTATTGCCTTTAGATTCTTAAATGTTTAAACATTTATTGCACAGTGAGAACATGAATAAAAAAGTTAGAATGTGAACAGGAACCAGCAATTATACCTACTAAATTCTCTCTTGTGTGATATTATTGGGAAAATTCACTAGATGGAGAAGAGGTAAGGGAGAAGAGGCAATAATAATAGGGTGTAACTTTTTCTCGTAAAAGCATTGCCAATTTGCATATGGTGCACATAACAATCATGAGTCAATGGGCATTTTCTACCACGGCTATGGGATCCTGTTGGTACTGTATTTACCCCTGATCCACAGAATCGACCAAGCCCCACCGCTGTTGAATCGAGACCGTCAAAAAGCTCAACATAGTCATAGCCACAATCGGCTTCTTCCTCCACTTCAAAAATCTGGAAGGATAGCTCCAGTCGAAAGCCCCGTTCTGACAATAACAGCCATTCACAGTCCACTTGTCCCGGGTAGTTGTTATCACCAAACTGCGCATGCGAGTACAGATCTCTGGGTTTCGGGTCTGCTTTCAGTCGACCACCACACTCTGCTCAGGAAAGAAAAATGAAATAAATTCAGTGAGTTTTAACAAGTCCAATCTCAACCTCAATGTAGTGTAACCGTTCTCTAACTTCTGAATGCATTTTCATCATCAGATGTGTTTCCTATAATCGTAGAGTGTGACGGTGCACCAGGTCCCACCCCAGACCCTGGACACAGAGCTAGCTGGGTTGGAATACCACCTCCAACATCTTCGAGCTCAGTTACTTTAGGTGAGTGATGTCGCTTCTCTGATCCATAGGGCAAAATGCAGATGATAATGATAGCACCAATCTCCCAGTGGATTTTGAGGATTTAATGAATACATGGAAAATCACTTAAAACAGTGCCTAGCGTGTAGTAACTCTCAATAAATATTTTTATTGTTATACACGATCCGGTTTTTAGTCCCAAATAACTAGTTTTCATAGGGGAAAAAAAAGGTCAGTATCTTAAATCAGGTTGATTCTTACTCATTTAAGAACCCAGAATCCAAAGGAATAAGAAATAACTTAAAAATTGGCAAAATATATAAAACTCCAGTGTGTATATGCATGATATAGAACTCTACATAGACTATACAGAACAATTTTATTTAGGTAGAAATATTTATATAACTTGGTTGGGAAAAACATACATGCATCTTTAACTATAATAACATTTGTAGTTCCAGAACCTATTAAGTATATTTTGTGTTTGTAATAAATAAAAAATTTTAAATGCTCTTTTTACAGCTTCTTTTTCAGAGAGATATTAATAAACATGTGGTTTACCAGTTATTACTTTTGTCACTAGAGGTAAATATACCAAATAACTAGATGAGTATGCATAAAAATGCAGAGCTAGTATAATTTAGAAATGAAAGTTTTCAAAAAATTTTCTCAGAAACTTTGTAATCTGAGTCCCGAAACTTCCTAATGACTAGAGATTAAAAAAACAAAACAAAACAAAACAAAAAAACACCCAGAGATTAAATAGAGATCCCCTCCAACCAATACACATGCAAACTTATGGCAGGGGGTCAGGGGAGAAGAAGATAAAATAGGGCTATAAAAAATGTTAGAAGAAAGTAGAGTTTCTTTCTGTTTCTGTTTGTCAAGTGCTGAGAGGTTCCTGGGAAGCAGTGATTTCAGGGCTAAAACCAGAAAAGTCCCAGGAAAACTGGGATAAGTTGGGAGGGGACAAAACCAAAAATCCAATGTGGAAAGATGTGGACAAGCCAGGACCCTAGATATGAAGACACCACTGTAACATTCTCATGGTCATCTGCAACCAGTCCCAGCGGCACCCTGTGAGGACGGATTACACAACTAAAAACACTTAGTTGGATTTTTCCGATTTGTATATGGCTTACCCACACTGATGATTTTAAACAACAAAATATGTCTGAATCCCCCGATGAAACCCCATTCAGATGTATCTAAATACACGTAGGCTCAACCAACCCTACGGGCACTGTCACAGACAAAGACATTTAGATTCTTGTGTGTGACTGACATATGAACGAACTTCCAACCAGGGTTTCAATCATGAGAATGACTGCCCCATTGGGCTGTGTTCCATGAAGAACGTAAGTATCCCTCCACGTTCCAGGTGTCGGGTGGGGCATCTTGCACAATCTATCGATATAGCATATAGTATATATCGATACTATTGCAAATGTAAATGAGTTAGAATAACCTGAAAGCTCAACCCATCTCTTGAATATCATCTCTTGAATCCCATAGACCGGAAGCCAAACATTCTACCCTTCCTACCATGGTGTTTCTCTAATTCCAAAAATTATTCTCCTTCTTCTGTGACAGATCTCCACAGCTAAATGACCTGGGTCCAAATCTGAGCTCTGCCCTTCATCCGCTGAGAGACTTTGTCTCACACTCCATTTCTAAGACAAGGATCATACATAGTACTCACGTCATGGGGTCTAGATGAAGAGTGAATGGATTAATATATGTCAAATGTTTGAAGGATACCGGGCACATAGGAAAGGCCATATTAGTGTAAGCCATCACCATTACAATCATTATTGTCTAGTGAGAACATCTAAATGGCATCATCTGTGCTGCTGCTAGGGATCCATTTAGGTATGAAATGAAAAGCCAGAATAAAATGAAAAAAAATTTAAAACATTATTAATCTGCTATCATAAAGGAAGACTTGTATTTTTGAAGGCCAGTAAAATATTTTGTGAAAAATATTTCCAAATTTAATATATAAATGTATAAACCAGTGTAATCTCACTTAGAGAATTTTTTAAATTTTACCTATTCTCAAAGTTTGATATATAATTGCCTGCTTTGTTTTGGTTTCCACTTAAAAAAAAAAAAAAAAAGCTGCCAGCACTTGGATTACTTTTATTCCACAGCCGGGAAGAGCTGAAGGAGCCCACTGGGAGATATAAAGAAAGCACTAGTTTTGGTGTGTCTGCTTTGCAGGAGCAAAGTAGCAGGACAAAAGACCAGGATTCAGAAGAGACAATTCTCTGCCAGCCCCAACTTGGAACAAAAATCAAGGAGGAAATGAAGTAGTTGAACGAAATGAAAAAGATTTCACACAACCTTTGTGAATCTGAAAATGACAGTGAGGAGTTATTATTTGGTTTTATTGAAAACATCTAGAAAATGGCAATATTCAAAATAAATAAATTACATTTAAGGATAACTTAAAATGTTCCATTATGTTTGTCTATTTTCATTTCTCTGTTCCAGTACACAACTGCCTTCCTATGGATCACTGATCAAACTAATAAATCTGGAATTACTGATCCAACCATGAAAAAAAGAGAGAGAGAGAGAAAACTTAGTCCACAGGATAAAATTTTTAAGAACAAAGATTTAAATATTATATGCACAAGATGTGTGATTTTAATATGCCCTGAGAGAAATTCCATAAGCAGAAAATTACAGGCAGCATGAGGGCAATTTGTCCTTGAGGCAGTTCTTCAAAATATGGTCAATACATCATTTAATATGGTCCCTTTAAAGAAGGTATTTAATTAAATACATTTCCTGCAAATATTCCTATTCATTTACCAAGTTGGAACAATATAAAAGTAGTGTAGCATGTCAGCAGTATTGTTTTTAAATCAGTTGTTTGAAAATACTTTGCAAGCTGCCAGAACATCTTCTACAGAATTCTGAAAAGTGAAAATGAAGCTGAATAAGAAAGGTGACAAAAAGGGAAGAGAAGCCTGGGGGTGGGGGTGGGGAGTGGATTTCATTTTAATTTGGAAAGACATGATTGTTTATTTCCCCAAAAAGTATTAAATTCCCAAAGAGGTCCTGTAATTTGACCTATACATGCTTTTAGTGGGCATTCCAATTTAATTGAGTTAGATAAAAATAACTTCCTTTCTAAGAACTTTTATAATGCATTATTTGACTTTTAAATGTCATTGATGCATACTACAATGCTACAGCAAAGAAGTCCTACCAGACAGGCCATGTTTTATTTTATTTTTTTTAATGTTTCAAGTTTTTATTTAAATTCTAGTTAGTTACATATAGTGTAATATTAGCTTCAGGAGTAGAATTTAGTGATTCATCACTTACAGCACTCATTACAAAAAGTGCCCTCTCCTTAACCATCACTCATTTAACCATCTCCCCC